AGACATAATTGTCTTAGTTTGTCGAAACTGTTGCCAATATGCATAGAATTGCATCATCGATCAAAATAAACCTCTTTTTCGTGGACAATTTCCATATAAGTTTGATTATTTTGTTTGCGATAATTTCGAAACTTTTGGCGATAAGCCTCTGGTACTAACTCGTATGCTGTGATAATAGCTGCTTTAACCTTATCATAATTCGCACACTCTTCTAAAGAGAGAGCGACATAAGATTCTTGTGCTTTGTCATAATAATGACCACTTTTCGGTGGGCCATTCCATGATTTGGACAACCTTCTCAAAATGTTGGAAATATTTATCAACTTCATGTTTATTAAACGGTGGTACTTTAACATATCGATTAAGTTCAAAGATGTCATTCTGTCTTGGTCGATCGGTGTTGAATCTAATTTTCGTTTCTTTCAGTCTAATTTATTTTTCGGCCTCGAGACGTTTATTTTCTCTTTCAGCTTCAATACGAGCTTGTTCTTTCTCTTTCTTGGCTTCGATACGAGCTTGCTCTTTCTCCTTCTCGGCTTCTATACGAGCAATTCATTTTTGTTATCTTTTTATAGTTGTTCTAGGGAGGGTGATACAAGAAGATCTTGATAATCAGATATGATCAAATCTTGTTGGCACTGATAAATATAAATTCAATTGTGATTTAAATTTAAATTTAGATCGAATTTTGTCTCTGATTCAGATCTCGGACACGAGCCCTTAATTTATTACGTTAGGTATTAGAACAACAGAACATATTTATCTTCCTATAATTTGAAATTTTGATTTTTTTCATGACAACAAACTAGTCTGAAAAAAAACATCTTTCTGACTAAACAGCAGTTTAGGTAATGGTACTTCTTAATTGTCTTTTTATTTCAACCAACGTTTCGCCATTTTGGCTTCATCAGGGTTAGGAGTATAAGAACTTATGCTGTAGTACTACGGTGGATTTCAACTTTTCGTTATTTTATTTAAAATAATATTACAGTATTTGATTCAACGTATATTCTCGGGGTGCCCCCTCCCCCACACTAACAAATTCTGGGGTATTGGAAATATTTTGTTGTTTTTCAAACTTTGCAGTGCATTATGGAAGTATTTAGAAATTTTGGCAATAAAGTTAGAAAAAAAAATATACCTTTACTCTCCATATAATAATAAAAAACTATATTTCAGTTAACATTTCGCCATTGCGGCTTTATCAGAGCTAGTAATGAAAGAACTATTGATGTTATATTTTAAATTTAAAGGAAACATTCTAATTATTTTAAAAGCTTTGACTTATGTCGAATAAACACCAATTGTATGGAGCCCTTTTCATAATTTTTAATTAATTATATAATATAAATTCATCACCACGAACGAGTTGCAAGGTTATGTAAAATCTACAAATTTAGACAGTTTATAATGGACTACTATCTTATCGCTCTATATCTGTATTTGATTCATTAATATAAGAATAAGGTTCTTTTTTAAATGATATATTAGTTTATGACCTAAAAAACATAGGTGAAATTATGCTTTGTACAGTAAAGCTTTAGTTATCCGGCATCTTCGCATCCGGAAAGCTCTTGTGACCAGAAAGGTCAGTATTTTAGTGGTGCTGCTGTGGTTCTTTATTTACCTTCTTTTCCGCTGGCAAGCTTCAGCTGTTAGCCGCTTGTTCAGTGATTAACATTTAAGATACTGTACTTATAAATGTTTTTATATACTTTAAGGTTTTTTGCTGCCAAGCTTCAGCTGTTAGCCGCTTGTTCAGTGATTAACATTTAAGATACTGTACTTATAAATGTTTTATATACTTTAAGATTTTTTTACAACATTTATTATTGTCTAAAACTGTTATTGTTAAAGATGATGTAGAAACACTGTGGTTTAAAGCATTAACAAGGTGTCAAACGTTTCCTACAAAATAATATAAAGGAAATGCTT